TGAGCTCTTGCTGGCTCGTGTCCAGCGTGTCTTGGTGTATTTATAACTGTATGCACATGTTTGTTAGGTTATCCTGAAGAGAAAATAAGTAAATGTAACCCCTGCAGCACACAGACATTAGAAACGAGCAGTTCTTGAAATGTTAATGTACAGTTACTTTTTATTTTATAGGCTCTGAGAACAGCCCTCACAGTCACATCACCACAAATCTGTGGGTAGATCTTAAACTGCACGCTGTGCTTGCAATCTAACCCGAAATCATCGGCAAGGAAGAAGAAGAAGTGAAACGACTCTTTGCTATATCGAAAAAGTATTTGCGAGCTGTGATATGAGGTTTTCGAAGTGCTGATTTCCCAGGTTGCCCAAAGTTTGGCACAATTAGTTTGTTTTCTTTCTATTTTTAAGTTTGCGATATAAAACAGTAACGCTGGATTAAGATTTGAAGAAGAGCTCGTTCTTGATGTCTGCTTGCTGCGGGCTTGTATTTGCTTCTGTTCATCTCAAAAATCAATAAAATATGTAACTTGCCCCAAAGTGGCCAAACTTTTGAGCGTGTGAGGCTGTTTCCACGACTCCCTCCAGCCGATACTTGCTTGAATGACATGAGGGGATGTGAGGAAGGAGTAATAGAAGCGCTGCAGTGTGTGCATTTATGGTTATCTGTGTGAGTCCTGTTTATTATGGGGCACGGTGCAGGTATCTTGATTTAACTCACGCTCAGAAGCAGGCACTTGTTCTCCTTGATGGCACCCAGGCAACCAAGAAAGCCCGTTACCATGACGATGGCGCCGATGGCGATGACCATGTTGGCAGCTGACAGTGAAGGGAATGAGGGTGAGAAGGTGGCGAAGCTGCCCTGAGACACAGAGAGCCAGATGCCCACGCCGAGCAGCCCACAGCCACATAACTGCAAAAGATAAGACAGACGACAAGGTGAGAAAACAAACAGCAGATAAGTCGCTGCTATCTTTTCAGGGGTGCGCCGCAGAAATTTTTAACAACCAAATTCCTTTTTTTAGCTCTGCCCCCGGCTGTTTGGGTTCTGGTGACAGACCTCCTGAACAATACAGTCATTCACAGAGCAAGGTTAGCTTTAAATTAAAACAAATCCTGGTTCAAAAAGCCCAGTGCAACAGTCTCAATTTCCCCCTGGGTGCATGGGGAATAGCCCACGCAATCACACATTACCAAACACTGCTGAAAAAACAAGAGGGTTTACACCAATTACAACTATGATAAGCCAATAACAGCTCTGCAAGAGATTAGAGCAAAAAATTGGACTTGGGCCGCGCTGGTTTTGAACGTTTGAGCTGATTACATTAAATCCAGAACAAACAGACATGTAATTACTGCCAACCCCTAAAATGAAAACTTCCAAGCTCTCGAGAAGCACCTGCAGTGGAGTTGAACTTCACCTAGAGGGAGCAATTCCCTAATCTCACCCTGTCGCCCGGCCAGGTCCCTGCTGATGTGTGTGAGGTCTGCAATGTGAGTCCATTAATGCAAGAAAGTGTTTATGGAAGGCTTTGATTGGCGGAGTGGAGTGTCCCGCCTGCTGATGCGCCGCTCCATCCATCACGGATAAGAGCCACGCGACACCGCTTGGTGAAATATAGACTCGCGGCTAAGTGGTGACATTTTTAGCGAACACCTAATAGAATGAAAAACCCAGGGCAATCTAGCCATGAATAAAAAAAAATCCAAAATGAGGTAAAATATGGAAAGGCTCCGTGGTAAATCATCACACCGCCGCCCTGCCTTCCCTCCGTTCACACCGCTCCCCTCTTCCTTTCTCATCTTTGCACCGCTGCGCCAGAACACTTTAATGCCTGTCAGCAATATACACAAGAAAACCTGCTGCGCATGCAAACAAACACACAAACACACACACACGGAGGCACGCAGTCATATACAGCAGGAATTATGCAGAAATATGGTTCTGCTCAAAACTCTTTGTTTTTTCTCCACAATAAAATAATTAATCTACCCCACACAGAGCTAATTTTCACAAGCTGACAGCAGTTTGAGTGTCGACGACTGGACGTGTTACACTTTCAGCACTTCCCGTTATAAACAGTGTGGCTGCAGTTTGACAAATGGAACGAGTCTGTTGATCGGCTAACCAAAGGCAAACAAAGTGGCTTAAAGCACATTATTAAGTCCTCTGACTCGAAGGTGGCCCTCGGTGATGTGTGTGAGCGACTTTCGGCTGCTCGCCTCATGAGGTGCTGATGGAAGCCTGGAGTCTAATGAGGCCTATAGGATGTGTAGATACATACACTGAGTTCAAGCCGCCCCCCGCTCATGTTTCAGATGAGCTCGCTCTCATTAACCTGCGACCTCTGAGCCGCCAGGCCCGACTTGGCACCGGCCGACCTCCGAGGATGGGAACCCTAACACGCCCGGCAAGACGGATGATGCGCTCGCTCTCCCGAGGACTGAGGAATGACTCGATCCAATTAAAAGTGAAGACGGAGAGAAAGAGTCGGGGCCGTGCATAAATGACTCAGGATAGATAAAAGGCCCGTTTGAGAGCGCTCGAATTCCAGCAAAGATTAACTGCGCGCGATTTCGAGAAGATTGGAGTCGGCGCTCCAACAAACCCAGTTTGCTGTCAAGGTTAAACGCAGCGAGCGTCGGCGAGCGGACCACCAGCCTCCGACAGGAACCGCACTTATTTAGTCACATGTGGATAACGGGCCAGTCACGGTGGATTTCTCACCATGTATTAAATGAGTGGTCATGAATAAGACCACTCCTGAGGGAGGCAGAGAGGTGCTCAAAAGACTTTCAATCATTCATAATCTAAATAATTCAGAGGCAACTGTATTCACTGGGAGGCACCGGCGAGCCCTTTTATGCGCCCCCTGATTAAAAACGGGAGAGTGAGAACGCCAATTGAAAACGCTGGTAAAGGTCATGTCCTTATGCGGCGCGGCTAATACGTGGAATCACAGCTGAGGCGACTCAGAAGGCCAGATTATATAGAGCGTGAGGAGGGATGAATAGTAGGTCTAAGAGGCCAGAGAGATGGAGTGGATTTAGCACCGGCGACGAGGGGGAAGCACCAGGAGCTTTACAGAGAGTCCAGGTGGGAAGGGATACAGTGCCTTCTCTTAATTGTGTTTAATGCCCAGTGAAGGGAGCTCATCCAAGTGTGTCACTCTCTTAAGTGACTGTGAAACCACCCAGCCCCCGCTCAATCTGTCTGATCTGGGCCTACCAGGAGCACGGTCTAATCTCTGCCCTGCTTCTACTAACACTATTACTACTACAGCTACAACAACAACAACAACACGCCGCCATGAGGCCTCTTCTTTTTTTGTGGTCGGTGCCACAGGAAATTCCTCCAGTACAAGCTCTGATCTCGGCGTTATCTGACCTCGGCATATACGCGTGACCTCGATCCCCTCCACTTGAGCTCCTTATCTTCTTCTAATTGCGGGACGGTGGTGTTTTTGATATCCCATCTGCGAAGGATCAAGGAATCCCCAAGTGTCGGAGAGGCTTGTAAATAGCTACGGAGAAAGCTTACTATCAAGGAACTCGCTGCCACTAAATCAATCAGGACTGCTGAAGCTGCAGGGTTATGATTAACATCTGGGTCGGAGGAATAAATTGGAAACAGTTTTGATTCACTCGTGGTCTCATCGATGTGATGAAAGTGCTGCAAATGTCCCACAATACTGCGAACGTTACCGCTGTTTACATCAGACCAGCGAGCCGTTTGTTTGTGGCGCCCCCGTCGCCGTAACATGTGATCCGACTTGACCCGCTGGAGTTCCACATTAATTATTTGTGTAGATACAAACAAGCAGCACCGATGCCCTGGGCTAGACTCTGCTTTCCACTTTCTGCAACTTCGCGAAGCACCGAGGGTGACGCACGGCTGCTTTCCAGGTTCATTAAAAATGTCACTCTTGCTTAGTTGCTCAAAAACTCAGCCGAAAACAAATCCGCTGTTTTGCCCCGACGATGTTTCACGTGCGCACCGCGGCGCCGGAGACGCTTCCCCTTATCAGTCTGAAGATTACTTTCATGTTGGAGGCTGAGAGCAGCACATCCTCCAGCTGTGATAATGAAAAAATAAAAAAAAAATAAAAAAAAATATCTGTGCAGCCTGGAATGTGAAATCGGTTGCTCTCGACGCTGAATTGAGTTCACAAAGTTAACAGCATTTCTGACAGCAGGGAGGAATGAGGGCACGTGTAATTGAGCTTGATATGGAGTGATTTCAAAAAAAGAAAAAAGAAAAATCAATCAAAGTGTAAGAGTGGGCTGAGAGAATATGTGCCCTCTTTGTACGTGTTGGGCAATATTTTGAGAGCACTTTTCTTTGCAAGACGAGGATGGAGTCCGGTGTCTAAATGTCATTCGTGAGAAAAGTGATGAAAAAAAACAAAACTGCAGACGCTATAGGAAAGAGCAGAGCAGCGTTAAGTCTGTGCTGGAGGAAATTGGAGGACATGCGATGTGACCCTATCTAAGCTGGATGAGTCGGGTCCCACCGTCAGGGGCCCGGTAACACACTCCCGGGTGAAAAAATAATTGCAATAATAGTGTGAGAAGCAGCTGTGAAGCAACTTTCCAAACAGGAAGGAGGTGTGAAGGAGGTCAGCCGTGAGGCCGGAGAAAGAAAGATGGTGTATTAATGCCACAGAGATTGGACGCACACGTGAGCTGTGTGTGAGAGCGACTCGAGTGAGGGAAGACGAAGCACAAACCACGGGCTGACCCTTCATCCGAGTGGCTGGCTCGGACAATTATCAGTTGCCGCGGTAACTGGCTCGGTGACACGGGGCCGCCCGACGCCGGACCCCGTTTCAATCTCCCCCGGAGGACCGAGGGGGTCTGGAGTGTGTGTGTGTGTGTGTGTGAGACGCTGACCTTTCTGCACACTGATCAGCCGGAGAGGTCGCGTCCTGTCATAGAGAATGACAGCGTTTGTCAAATTACTGCTATCCTCTGTGACTGATCTCATCACCACAGCTCGATGGCCCCAGTGGACGAGCTGGCCAAGCCGAGCCTCTTAATTCAGCTTTCTGGGCCGCCGCTGAGAGTAAATAACCGGCCAACAAAGAAGTCGTCTTTCACACAGACAAACTAACATATAGACGTTTGCTTTGCCGTCCCGACGCCTTTTGTTTAAGTAATTAGGAAACACTTCAACCATTACAGCACAATAAACCACGAAGCTGGAGAAAATGCCAACCTGACTGCATCGCTAGGGACGGAGACACTTCATCACTTTGCCATCCCTCCCTCCCTCCACCCTTTACTCCATCCTCTCTGCTCACGATCAGGAGGGAAAAACATTTTTTTCACGCTGCACACAAAAATCTTCGTCATTGATTTTGCACTGAAATGGAAGTGAGGGGATGTTTACCGCAGCTAAAAGGAGATTTTTTTTTTCAATTTCCACCACGCGATCCTGCGAGCCGGTGATTCATGCTACCATAAACGCTCACCGGCCACTTTATTAGGTACGACTGAGTTCAACCGGCCTTTCTCCTTCAGAGCTGCCATCATTATTTTGTGGCCCAGATTCAACAAGGTACTCGAAACATTCCTCAGAGATCCATAACGTCACGCAGATCTGTGGGCTGCATCTCCACGGTCCTGATTTATTCTGACTCACCTTGTTTTTATTAACAAAACTGAAGGAAATCTACTATTAGCAACAAAAATGGCAATGATTTGATCCCATTTTCTCCAAAACCTAATCAAATCTAACCCTGAAGTCATGTTTTAACCAAATCATTTACAGTTTTGACAAAAACAAACCATTTGCTCTCATCAAATTCTGTGACAAAAATAAAAATAAAAACAATCTCCATTTCTTATTACAACCAAGAAGCCATTAGTGACCCCGCTACAACCAACAGCTAAAACTTATAGACATTTTTT